GATTTTACGGATATTAAAAATAATGTCTGGATTTCACAGATATGAAAAATAAGAATTTATAGTTAGATGTCTCACTGAGGACTGTGGGAAAACACAGAAGAGAAATCAAATATCTGGGCTCTATTTGGTTTGTTGTCCCCACAAAATACGACAATAATGAATGCACTGTAGAGGACACTGATAGCATGCTGCAAAATGAGGGAAGATGAGGTCATGTTTGATAAACATTTCTTAGTACTGGTTATTACAGAAGAAGTGATTAATTATCTCTGGCTTACATTAATCTTTTCAGGTTATACCCATTTAAGATAACTTATATAATTGTTTTTTGGTAATTGCTTGATTGCATAAATATCAGGATACTATAGCAGTAACTGCTATTAATGCATCCTATACAGAGTTCTTTAATTATGCTTAGGAATATATTTTGATTTTGAAATGACACTGACATATCATTTATATTATTAATATCTCCGTTTCATAGGCAGTGTACTACCTCTTCGGAGAAACAGAGATTTGCTAACATTAAGAAATTACATTCTCACAGTGCCTTTGGGAGTTTTTTTACAGGTGTGTTCTAGCTTTGGCCAGGACCTGGAGGTTTATTCCATACCACATTACACCATTGACAGGGGAGGGGACAAGATACTGTCTTTTGAGATGAAGGGTGAAAAAAAAGTGTCATTTTCTGTCATTGTTCATTGTCTCTAGGTCTATGGTAAGCATTTTTGCATTTGGATCACCCTCTTTTCCATACTCTTGTTGTTAATATTGTTGCTGTTACTATTTGTTTTCTTATCTCATTGCTGTTTAAGGTAAATTGTTCTTACCTCAACCCATGATTTTCAGCTCTTGTACCTCCAAATCTCAACTCCATCCTGCCAAGTGGCAAGTGGAAGGGTAATGGGGGAGTAAACGAGCAGCACATGATTTGGCAGAGTCTCAGTGGGGAACTGAATTGGGAATTATCATTCCTAAACCACAAGGTGAAAAACCAATCTGTAGATTGAATGAGATGCCCACTGTGGTCAGCTGATGCAAGCTTGTGTCCAATCTTCCCTTTCATACTGCTGACAGGAGAGTTATCAACCACTCTAGCACAACTGAGCTAGGTTAGTATTCTTGCTCCCTGTCAACATTCTCCGAAATCAGAAGTGCTTATGTCTCACTCCTAACTAGACTTTCCCACCATGAAAGATGTTTAGGGAGCAGGAGGGCCTGCTTAGAGGATGAACAGAAGGCTGGTTATGCCAGGGTTTGTGACCTGGTTGTAATACCTGGTGAATGTAGCAATGATTAACAGAGGGGAGGTGGCAGCAGGAAACCAGATTCAATTACAAAAAGAACAGGATGTGAAACTGCAATCACTTTACAGTCCCAAATTTTATAAAATCTCTTTCCTCATCAGCTATTTAAGATGATTCTGATGTACATCAAAAAGGGAAAGGTAAGAACATGCTGAGAATTCTGTGGCAAACAGCACTACTGCTTACAGAGAAAACCTGGTGTCACTTTCCTTTTGGTACCCCATACAACTATTTTCTTTTCTCTTTTTTTTTTTCCCTCCCAAAAAGACTGTGTATTAAAAGCAGATTTTCAATGAAACAAATCAGATCATATCAATGAAAATCTGAATTTTCCAAATATTCAAAATGTGGATGCAATTGGTTAAATCACTATGAAATAACAGTTCTGTGTTTTCCAGATCAATTTAATAACACTGAACAGATTTTAATAGTTTTTAATTAATTTCTGAGGTTCAGCTTTTAATATCCAGTTCCTAGACTGATATTTAACCTGGTAATATTTTAACATTTTGTTATTTCACAGATATAAGTTGAGCAATTGTTTGAGTTTTTCTAAAAATAAGTATTTTCTAAAAATGTTCAAACACCTCTCAGACTATTTAAATGCAGAGCAAGGGATCATTAATTAGATTTCTGAAGGAAGTCAGAAGCCTGATGTTATTTTGCCTGTTCCTTATGAGCTCTTGCTAGCTAAATCTTAACTACCAGACAGATACAAACCACATAATTTTTATACTTTGCAGCTTTGAAGCATAACAAAACATCATGAATATAACCAATTTTAGCTGCATGCAGAATCTTAAATAAGACAATTGAGGATTTTTTTTAGCAATATATGTGTGTGTTTGATAGGAAGCTTTTGTTTTATTCACTTGTTTGTATTCAGCAGACACAATAAAAGACCATATCATTGAGTGTAATGTCTTTCTAACTTTAGGACTAAAAACACTACAAAGTTCTGCTACCTCCAGAGTTTCAAAGGCCTCTAGGTGGCTCCCATTCTGTCATCCCCTGAGCAGACCTTCCTTACTCCAAATAGTATGTTGAAGAAGTAATTTGCACTACAAAATCTGAGCATAATAATCTGAACACTTTTGTTTTAATGCTAACTAACCTAATAGTTTTTAAAATCTTCTGTTTTGTTACCACAAAAATACATGCAGGTTCTTTTAGTGCAGGTTGTCAAGCTGGTTATTTAGGTATCTTTCACCACACTGCACCCCACATAAGGTTTTGAATTAACAAAAGCTATCCCCAGAAAGATAAAATGGTATGTTAAATAAAAGAAAGCAAAAAAATTACAGTATCTTTTCATTGCAATCCAAAAAGTCTCACAGAAGCAGGAGAAGTACTAGCATGTTTGTGGTCAACATCTGACAGCTGCCAGTGGGATGGTATCTACAGGGAAATGAATTTGAGCTCTCATGGGCACCCTGATACACTGCTGTTATCTCACTGACTGTTTTACTAGCCTGATGCTTTGGATGGCGTTGTCAGCATTATACAGAATGAACTTGTGATATATTTATAATATACCATCCACTATGCTTTTAAGGTTGTTTAAAAAATTTTAAGTCTGAAGAAAATATTGAAAACAGATAAGAAAAGATTTTTTGGCAGCCAAATAACAGCAAGAATACTCCTGTCTAGATTATGCAGAGGGATTTGAACATGGGATATTCAGAGCAATGTTTTAGTGATACCAAGGTTACCTTTCTTTGAAAAAAACATTTGTAACATGAGTGGCAATATATCCCTAGAAAGACTCAGAGAAGAAACCTGAAAGCATCTGTACAAAAGGTGAAGCACCATCTCAAGAAAAATTATACAAAGATTTGATCAATTTGCACAGAAGTTTATGTAATTGATCTATGTATGGACCATCTTGTCTTTTACTTGTGTTGTGATGTGATTTTACTCTGGAAATCATGACCTACCAGTAGCAGCTAAAATACAGAAGGAATCTTTGTGAGTTCCTTTAGGGAATGGTAGAATTTTTTTTTTTTTGTTTCCTGAAACAGCAATGAGAGCAGTCTGATAGCTGAAGATAAATTCTTGGCTAGCAGCAAAATTTGTAAAGTTGCTTCAGCTCCACAGGTGCTGTGAGCTGGTGACAGTAGGCAAATGTGGCTGCCATCATATATCTATACCTTCAGGGCCACAAAGCAAGACTCCCTGCCAGAGATTGGTATTGCTTCTGATCCACGCACTTCCAATGTTTTCTAGGAATGGCAATATATTGGTAGAAGGATTATACTATGCTGCTAATGACTATTCATGTATTAGAGGAATTACGCAACTAGTCATTAAGATTTCAGGAAACCAACAAAGTGTTTTGAACTGAAGAAGCACAGGACTTGAGCTGCACGCAATAAGAAAAACAAAACATTCATATTTGCTGGTTGATACTAAGGGGGACAATGTTGCCTAGACCCAGGTGAAATTACAAGATGTTTGGCTGCAGAATTGCAACAGAAAGGTCATTTCATGCTTTGTTGCATAAGTGTGTTGATGGAAATCTTCATATTGGAACATGTTAGATAAACCTATTTATTTCCAAGAAGAAAACCACAACCTTAATTAAAAATGTTCTAGGTTTCATATGCATCTTGTTTTATGAAAGCTGAGCTTCTGAGAGTCTAAGTAATTTGCAAATAATTTTTCCTTTTATAAGCAACCACTTAATTTTAAAAAAAATTGGTTTGAAATCCTTTTCCAGTTTTAAAAGATGCCCAGCTACCATCCATAACCAGATTAAATCTGACAATAGGACTGAAATGATCTGATAAGTATTCCACTTGTAACAGCTGGTCTGAAATTTTTGCCAGTCTTCTTCATAAGAGAAGTGTGTGTAAACATTTCCTTCGTGTTTTTGCCTCATGGTTATCCTTTCCAAGAACAAGCTGTAAATCAGGTTAAGTGTGGCTTCACTGCTGCCATAGTTATCATAGAATCATAGAACAGTCTGGGTTGGAAAGGACCTTAAAAGTTACAACCCCCCTGCCATGGGCCTTCCACTAGACCAGGTTGCTCCAAATACCATCCAACCTGGCCTTGAACATTTGAGTGGGGCATTCCTAATTTCACTGGGCAGCCTGTTCCAGTGCCTCATCACACCTACATATTTTGTAAATAGTCCCTGTCCATCTTTTGGGGTTTTTTTGTAGGCTTCCTTCAGGTACTCAGTAACCACAATTAGGTAGCTATGAAGCATTCTCTTTCCTGGTTGAGCAAACCCAATTCCCTCAGGCTTTCCTCATAGGACAAGTGCTCTGATGGAAAAGTTTCTTCTGAATAGCTTCAGTATTGTCTGAACAGCCAAGCAATCTACATTTGCTTAGCTCCTCTAACATCCAAAAGTCAGAATTTTGCAAGTGGGTCTTTAACGTTTGTTTAAAATGGTGGCCTTGTCTGTAGCTATCTGTGTAACTACATCAATTAAGAGTACAAAAGGCAGGATTTCAAACCAGACGTCACCTAACAACAGTCTGTTCTGATCTGACATGCTCATTACAGAGGGAGAGATCACCTCTTAACTGCATTGCAGCTAGAACAACCTTCAAAAATAAAAAAGTTAAAATTAATACTGGTCATGAATTAAGACAGGTTTTGGTATCTGTGTGCCAGACAGACTGAAACAGCTGGATGTGATTCGTTTTAGCTTTCATTATCTATCCTCTGCTTTCTTTTCAGCATGAGTCATGTTTCTGCACCAGAACTCCAACTCAACAGCCATAGGACGTTTTAGGGATTTCCTCAGGATCATAAAGTCTAAGTTGCCAGACAGGTTTACTTAAAGGTAGGTTTATTATCCAGTGCATTGTTTAGACACTATAAAATTCATATATTGATGAAAAACATTCACTATCTTTTACATTAAGCCAGTACTAACTTAAGATGAGAAATTAATTCAAAAAGTGATTTTAAACTGTGAGATGTTTATCATCAAACTCAGATTATGATATAGGATTTTTTTAAAAAACTTTATTGGAAAAGACACTAACACACTTCAAACCCAAATATATACATACCCTAAACATTTTGCAGTCTGCATTGAATTCTCGTATAATCCTCCACACATAACAAGTCAGATAACTAAAAGTAAGTATAATAAGAGGCTAAATTTGTACATTTTGCATAGTTACGGAGATAACACTGTGTAACAAACTTTTAGTTTAACCAAGAACTATTCAGACTAATTTAGTGGTGCCTTGTCATTAGTATGATTGAAGTGAAACTTCGTTTATCAAAGAATTTGCTTTGGAATGCACACCCATTAATGAGGCTCACTTATTTTTCTCAGGAAAGTGCACAACAGGCCTTAGCAGCTGAGTTAGCTCTTCTGCATCCTTGGCACAGCTCAGAAGCCTCTTGCTGTGGGGCCATTTCGCTGGAAGTTACTGTTTAAGTGTGCAATAACCCACAGCATGTAACCATGGGTTACTTTACATACATACAACACAAACAGAGCACAGGTTGAGTCCAGTGAAAATTCAAGTCATGATACACAAGGAAAGGCCTAAAGTAAAAAGTAACAAAAGGTGAAGATGTCCAAGACAAAGTAAGGTAAGGTAAAGATAGATTACAGGGTGAGGGGATTTTACGAGCAGCAACAGCAGAATCTGAACTGCAGCAGTAACATTTCCTGCAACATTGAAACTGTATTACAGATGACTCTGCAGATGTCTTGGGGCAGAGATCTGCTTTACCATGGTGAGTTAGGGTGCTTATGCACCTGAGCAGTCTTGCTATCCCCTAGTAGCTAGCTACACACTGAACAAAAATGATGACTTTAGCTCACCTCTGCTTGGCTCTGAGTTTTGCCTTGTTCTAGAACCCTCTTTTCAATGATGTTGCCATTGCCTACTCTAGTGTAAAGTAACCTTATGAGCACAGCTAAGTTTCTTCTGCTTCTGCTACCAAGTTAGGCCCAGCCACTGGTTCTTGGTTAATTTTTAAATGGAAGCACTGGAAACACGGTGTGCCAGGATTATTTCAAGGAGACCTGCTGGTGTTCACCACCATTAGATCATTAGATTCTGAATTTCCAAATGAATCAAGGTTTTATCTAAATTTCAGCAACCACAATTAACTAAAGAACCTAACTTGCTATCAAACCAAGGAATCCTCAGAGCCTTATGCTTTGTATTCAGACATGCTGACACAGTTTAATGTGACAGGTTTTTCCCTTGATGCAACAGCAACCAGTAATGTTTAACAGTTACAAACGCACAAGATGAGTCAAAGGCAGAAGCTTTGACTCATACCTACTAATGTCGTAAGCATGTTTTTAGCTTAAAATGTTACAAAAATCACTCCTGCTCTTGAATGACACACAGTACCACACAATTAATAGGTTTGCACTGGGTTTTCTGACAATAATAAGGTTTATTTTCAACAAAAGGGAGGTATGGAGGATGGAAGCAACAAAGAGAGATTACTGGGCTGCAAGTAGGCCTTAAATATGAAGTGGCTAGGAATTTTATCTACATTAGACCATGCACAAGTATTACTGATGTAAAAGTCAGTTTACACAAAAGTCAGTCAATTTAACACAAAGTCTAACTAAGAATTGCAATTAGAGCTATGCATATGTGTTTAGATGCAGAAATGTAGCCTTGTGCCACACTGATAAAATAATTTAGATCTTTGGATCAAATCCAGAACTGCAAAATACTGAGACAAAATAATTTCCAATAAATGGAATTAATTTGCAGCACAATTGTGAACATTCCTGTTATTATTCCAGCACATACAACCAGGTATGTGGTGTACGTGCCCATACAATACTGGGTAAAGATAGTAAAAAAAAAAAAAAAAAAAAAAACACATGTGCTGGACAAGATGCAAGTTATAAAGCCTTCGTCAGTTCTGAAAACATAGAAGTTTTTGTACCAACTAAGATGTTCAATCTCCATTGCTTACTTCTCTGGCTAACACAGACTTTGTGGATTTTGACAGGGAAGATTGTCAAGCTTTCAGTATCCCATTTCTTGGCACTCATGGACTCCCTCTGCTCAACTGCCTGTGCTGTTAAGTACATATATACATCACAGAAATGTTAAATTTTTTTTTCAAGCACTGTCATTCCACATTTGGTTAACAGGTTTGAGTTGCTCTTATTCTGGGGTTTTTTCAGTACCATGGTGACTTGAGCAGAATCAGCCACAGCTAGCTGCCCAAGATTGAGTCAGGTTTGAATACCTCAAGGAGGGAAGCTCCACAACCTCTCTGGGCAATTGGTGTTCAACTACCTTCACAGAAAATAAGGTTTTTTTTAATATTTAAAAATAATTTACTTTATTTAGATTACTGCTCATCACCTTCTGCCCTATCACTGCATACAGCAGATAGGAGCCTTGCTCCAACATCTTTACCCTCCCATCAGATACATTCACATTGACAAACTCACCAAGCCTGCTCTTCTTGAATGTAAAAAGCCCCAGGTCCACTGTTTAAGCTGCAAGCCCGTCATCATCTTAGTGGTTCTTCAGTGGACTTGCCCCAGTGTGTTCCCAGTCTCTCTTTCACCTGAGAGCCCAGCACTGGACACACCACTCGGATGTGTCTCAGCAGTGCTGAAGACAGAGAGAATGTCACCTCTCTTGACTTGTTGTAATGTTCTGCCTGATGCAGCCAGGGTGGTTTTTGATCTTTGCCACAAGGGTACACTGCTGGCTCATGGTCAGCTTGGTGTTCATCAAGATTCCCTGGCTGTTTTCTGTCACACTGCTCTCCTGTTGGTTAGCACCCAGCATGTGCAGGAGCGTGGGGTTGTTTGTCTCTGGATGCCAGGTTTGGCATTTTTTCTTGCTGAGTTTCTGAGAGTTCCTGTCAGCCCATTTCTCCACCCTGATGGGGTCCCTTGGGATGGCAGCACAACCATCTGGTGTATCCACTAATTCCTTCCACTTCTTAAAATAATTAACAAAATTGTGAAAATACTTGATATTATCAATCTTCACTTGTTATCACTGTCAGACATAGAATTAAAAAGCGAAACTAAATGGCAGGTATCAGATCTTCAATAAGATAATTATTAGAATAACTCTACTAGAACACTTGTGTTTTGAAACCTTAACTCTCAAGCCTGAACAGAAATCCTTCTTTAATGACTCACTGCTCTCAACATTTTCTATTTAACTAGCTTCGATATTTTTCTGCCACATCTGTTCAAAACCTGTCACAATGTGCCAGCTTGCTGTGACAGTCCAGTGGTTGGTACTATGTGCTATGGCAAATTTGGTTAAAATCTGGTGTACAGCAGGAGGGGAACGTGTTTTCATGCTTCCTTTTCAACAATGTTTTAAATAATAATGTAGCTTTGAACGTGTTTTCACCAGGTTTCCCCCCCTTTGTTTTCCAAAAACAGAAAGAAAATTCACAGACCAAATTTATTTCACGTTTGAAGCTAGATGTTGGCTGAACAGAAGGCTATGGGAGATTTCACCAACAAACTGCAGTTGCCAAAAGGAGCAGGAATATTTTCAGAAGGCTATGGGGGATTTCACCAACAAACTGCAGTTGCCAAAAGGAGCAGGAATATTTTTCTGCCGCCATAACATTTGAGCCCCTCTTTGGCAGGTATTCGATGGGCAGCTCCGTTTTCAGCCGAGGGATGCCCGGGGTGCCGCAGCAGCAGCGGCCGGCCCGGGGAGGATGGATGGCCGCAGGTGGCATGTTCTAGCCGGCCCACACTAGATGGCAATGCTTGCCCGGCTCTGCAAAGCGGGACGCAAAAAGCTGCGTGGGACACGTCCTTTGTAGCCTGCCGTGATCGTATAGTGGTTAGTACCCTGCGTTGTGGCCGCAGAAACCTCGGTTCAAATCCGAGTCACGGCACGGTGGGAAGGCTGTTTTAGACCTGCCGTCTGGGGACTGACTGCGCCGGGGAGGCGACACCCCGCAAACCCTCACTCTGCAGAGAGCACTTCAGTGTCTGGTTCACATAAAAAAAACAGGTGAGAGAAAGCAGCAGCTGCACAAAAGAAAGGTTTACATGTCTCACCGATACCTGACAAGGTATCAGTGGCACTCTGTGCACCATGAGCTTTTTCTGTCCCTTTTTGTGTGATTTCAACAAGATCACGCAGATGTTGCTGTACTAATGTTGTCTGGGACAACATTTTCTCCAATTTCACACTGTCTGACAATTCTTTTAACAAATGACCTTCCCAGCAAACATTAATTTCTTCCTATGATCTGTCCCCAGGGATTACTCACCACAAAGGAAAATTCCAGAAGAGTTTTTCTAGAAAGAGCAGCAAAAGAGGCACTAAATCACATGCGAATTATTTCTTTACTGTGAGGATTCATAGTATCTTTACTCAAAGAATAATGCATTTATGAGATGAGTAATCAATGGCAGCAAATGTAAGGCACCATGTCTAGGTATAAATTTTATAAAAGAGAAACAAGACACTGCTGGAAGTGCAGTGTCCTTTTTTTTTGGGGGGGGGGGGGGGGGGGGGGGGAGGAGAGGATGATGCAACCGAAAGGATTCTGCCACATGGCAGAAAAATGGTCTAATAAGATTCCCTGTTTATCAAAGCAACATTATCAAAGCAACATTAATTCCTTCTGCCCATTCTGCCTGCTGGGTGTTTCTGTCTACTAATGCAGGAATGCTAGGGACCAGTGGCTTTCCAGTATGGGAAAGGTGAGGTAGAGAAGCTGGCTGAAAGGTACAAAGGAAGAAATTTTGAAGAGACACTCCCAGGCGCCTGCTGTTGGCAATTTGTATGCTGACTGGATGGTGTGGCAATACAGTTCTAATTTGTTATTAATAGAATATGCTCA